CCGTGTGGCAAGGGAAGTCCTGGATGGCCTGCCCTCCCGCGCAAGCGCGGGTTCAACACTGTGTGCCCGATGGTCCACAGGGGTAGCAGCAGTCGGTCCTCGTCTCGGAGGCGATGGAGACCTCGACCTTCGGGGCGATGGGGACCTCGATCTTTGTGGCGACCGTTCCCTGCTGCTCTCCCGCCGCGTTTCCGCAGCTCTAGCGTACACCCCGCGAAGCGCTGTCTTGGCGGCGCCCCGCAACACTTGTCTTTCCTCTGCTGATGGTCGGATGCGAGGCAATGGAGTGCGCGAATCTTGTAGCCAGGATGAAGCTGAAGGAGGCGTCGGAGGGCGTAGCCAGTCCGCTGCACTGCTCGCTGCCTCCGCCGCGCCAGAGGCTGCGGCTTTATCCTGAGATTGCACACCTTGCGGCAAGACCACACCTGCGGTTTCAACCGATGCGAGACGCTGCTGATAAGCGTTGTCCGCGGCCTGGATCACTTCGAAGGCCTCTTGGTCAAAATCCCACAGGTGCCAACTATCCAATGACTCACGCCAGGAAAAGAGCGCCTCGATCTGTTGCTTCGAGGCGTCTGCAAACCTGACCCACCGGAATCGTCTGTTCTGCCGTTTGTACTCGTCAACGATGATCTGCTGCAGAGTGTTGAATAGACGGGCACGCGGCCCTTTCCCACCGCGAGTGCCGCGGTGAGGGCCGGCTTCCATGTGCGACCAAACGGTCGCAGTCACGGAGGGGTTTGTTTACCCGAAAAGCGTTACGGCTGATAACCACTCAAAGGAGAGGGAAACACAGTTTTGTCAACAACGGGGAAACCCGGGACCTTAAAAGGAACGAACCCCTCCGTGACTGCGACCTCTCCCTTAACCTTGTGGGTAGCGCGAGCAACGCGCTCTTTTCAGCACTTGAGCCAAATGACATGCGGACATGTCATCTGGGCTACCAAAGAGACCAAAAGAACGGGGCCCTGTTGCCCGCTCTTTAACCCCAAAAACCAAGAGGTGGGCCCAGAGTCAACAAGCAGGTTACGATTCCAGGAAAAACCACACTGCCCAAGAAACGGGCAAAGGAACTCTGCCACAAGTTGACTGGAGACAAAGGGAACGAGATGTTGGCGACTCCTGAAGCTTGAGAGAGAACGCGTGATCGCTCCCGTGAAACGCGTTCCTCTCGTCTTCCTCAAGAGATGCCCCACATCAGGTTGCAGCTGGGATCTCTGAAGCTAACCAGCAGGTAGTTTTGTTCCAACTCATCTCGCCTTCGAAAAACACGGATCCGGATGCATTATACACCGCAACATTGCAACTTGTAAATGGTGGTTTCCAACTTGATTTTGGTGTTGAAAAAGCAACATGTTTCAAATGATTGCAAAATGTATCATTTAAGGAGCCCTGAAACATCTAGCCAGCTTCACCACGCCGAACCGCCGAACCGCCGGGCGGCTGTTGAGCCAAGCTCTGCTTCTCCTCCCAAGTCCCGTTGTGAAGAGGCCCGATGTCCAGGATGGAGATCGGCGCCTGAGCCGAGAGAGCCTTTCTGGGGCTTTCTTCGGACCAATGTCCGGCAGAGCGAAGAGCCTTTCTAGGTCTCCTTCCGTCCATGTGGTCGTCTTGCTTTGAGCCCCTGTCTGCTTTCCTGTGGGTGTTGTGTGAAGGCAAAGCAGCGAATACAACAAAACACCTTCATCCCATGTTGAGGGGGTTCCGTATTCTAGGTCCTCCAGTAGAAAGCTTAGAATAAGGGTACCAACTTTTTTCTATTCTGTCTATTTTAGTAGGGGAACCCTCCCAACCAACAAAGAAACGGGTGAGTCAAAGGGCACCAATTGCTGTGGGACCTAGGTATTCCACCAGACCTACCAAGGCTCCCTCCCTGGCCTGGAGAGCTTGCTCCAGGCTCTTCACATCTGTGGGTTCCCCCAGCTTGGTCTGGCTGCCGGAGCGCGTGTAGAGCCCTGCGCGCTGAAGTCGGCCCAGCAATCAAGATGGAACTTTCATGAGGGCTTCTGGTGGGTTTCATGTCAGCGGGTAGAGGAAACTACCTCTAAATCTGCCCAAACTGTCTAAAGCAGGAGCCAAATCTTCATGTCCCCCGCCGAGGTCTCCAAATGTTTGTAAAGTGACCTCCTTTCAGCCATTTTGAGTCCAGTTGGGTGTGGTTCAAATTTTAAAGGCTAGGGTTAGGGGTTAGGCAGGCTTCTTCAGCCGACGAGAAGCCGAATTGATCAGCCTTCTGCTTCTTCATTTCGCTGGGACATTATGCACCCATGGGCTCAAGGCACTTCCACGGACCTCCCCAGACTCAACGAATGGCCAAAAAGCCAGGCGCTCAGACAGCCAAAGCAGTGCCAACTTACGTCCACACCCTGCTTTCGCCCGGGCACACATGAGCCTTGCTGACCGACCCCAAGCGAATTGTTGAGGGTTTAGGTTTTGGTTTAGGCCTAAGACCGCCCCCAGGCCAACTGTTTTGGGTTTAGGTTTTGGTTTAGGCTTAAGCCAGGCCAACTGTTTTAAGTTTAGGTTTGTGTTTAGGGTTGAGACCCGCCCCCAAGTCCAGTGGATGTATGATGACTCTTAGATCAGCCACAAAGCTGGAAACATCACATGCGCGGGGGTTCCCGCGGTCGGCAAATGCCCAGCAGTTGCTTTGTGTTGCTTCCTATTGCAGTGACCCTTGGCCCCTAGACACCTCGACGGGCCACCTGGGCCATGTTCTAAGTGGTTTCCATTGATTGACAGTGTTTGTGTTAGACCGCCATGCGTAAAAACATGCTGCTTGCCTGGGACGAAGCATCAAGCAGCTCAAACAAGCCAAATGATTCGTTCACCTCGAGAGCAACCACGTCGGCCAAGCGCGAAATGGTCCTCCAAAGGTTGGCTTCGATTCGATTCGATGCCTTGTGCCATGCGCATCAGGTCTTGCTTCCTGGGCAAAGCCACGCGGATTCACGTGTCCGCAATGGATGAAAGGTTGGGTATGAGTCAAACTCTGGGGTCCCCAAAACACGTGGTTTTCCCGTTTGGCTTGCCTTCCCAAAACCTGATGAAACCAAAAGAAACACACCTCCCTCGAAACGTCCTCCGGGGATTTTTGACCAGGTCCCAGGTTCTAAGCCACTGGGCCATTTCCAGCCCCCGTCCCAAAGATAGAAAGTTCGCCGTTCACCAAAGGAAAGCCTATCAAAGCTGCTGTTCACCAAAGGAAACCAACAGTGTTTGAAGATAGAAAGCCAAAGGAAACCCCTCACCGATTGTCTACCCTTTCGTGCTCAACCCTGCCATTCGCCCAGAATCAAATACCTGGATGTTCGCATGAGCCACAGTCAATCGTGTTCAGCCACTTCGGGCACAAACCCAAAGGCGGTATACCCAGCCGACAAAGAGTGCCAAGTGTCGTCTTGTTGTAGATCGGCAGCTTGCTGGCCCAGTTCATCATCTCTCCCACCCACGTTTTGTCGTAGAGCGGCTTCGACCTCCGGCGGATCATGAGCTGGGCCAGGCTTCTGTGATAAAGATTGCGAAAGCGAGAACTCCAAAAAGAAAGCGAGCCTTTCCTCAACCATTTGTCTGGCCATTTTCGCAAACTTTGGAACGTAAAGTCGCGTCAAACCGCCTGTGTCTCCTATCACAAAGGATCTTTCTTGGGCGAGACAACAACAGAAGCCCAGCAGCATTGCAAGGCAACCCCTTCTGGTAGGACACACCAAAAAATACTCACAAGGAAAGCATCTTCTTTGGGCATAAACAGGGAACATGAGGTTGCCTTAGGGTAACCCAGGCAAACTGCCCTTTTCTTCTGCGCTTTCAAGCACCCCCAACCATAGGAACCCTAAAATATGGTCCGTCCAAGCTCAGCCTCAAACCGAACCAAGGCGCCCATCCCGCTTGCAGTGCTCGCACTCCACTACGGCGTCATAGTCCGGAAGCACGTAGGCCTGCCGACTGCGTCTCAAGTTCGACCACACGTCATCCATTTGGCTGTGGCTCTAAATTAAATAGCTGGAAATACGCGGGTTTTAGTATTTGGCTCCATTTACCAAGGTGTCATTATTGGTACCACTTTTTGGAGCCACAGCCATTAACATATCCCGCAAACATTTGTAAACCATTAAAAAATCGTCATAAACCGGTACCAAAATGGAACCCTGGTAAGTGGAAACATGAACCAACACCTGCGGAACCTCTCCTATTTAATTTTAAGCCACACCCAAATAGCTGGGGCAAACCGTTCTATTTAGTCTTTGGCTCCAGAGACACCAAGGCGCCATTTTGGTACCACTGTTTTGAGCCACAGCCACTAAGATGTCCCGAAGTTGGGCAGCCACAAAAGGAGTATCTTCAATTCAGCGACCAGAAATCTGCCAAGTTCACCCTGCCGCAATTCTTGCCATGCTTTGTGGCCAAAGCTTGGGTTCCACACATTGGCACCATATGCCACGGGCTCAGCCCTGAGATCTCTCGCAGAGCTGTTGGAAAGGGCCCTTTTGCACTTGCATGTGAGTTGGTGGAAGGGTAGGAGTTGATTTTTCCAAAGATTTCCAGGGCACCAACCCGAGGAAGTAATACACTACTCCCATACCCCCGGTCAAGATCTCGCCCGCACCCCGAAACCCGGCCATCAGGGAAATGCGATCTGCGTCCGCATGGCCGGGCACGGGGTTCTGCACGCGGTGCACCACGTGCTTCAGACCTCAGCTTCGTCGATTTGTGGCGGCCCGTTTGACGCAGTGGCCCCACCAACCGTTGAACACAGGGACCTCTCACTTTTGTGGCTCTGGGTGAACATGAGGAAAAACCGACCGGCTGCTGCTACTGCTACTGCTACTGCTACTGCCACTGCTACTGCTGCTGCTGCTACTACTACTACTCCTCTCCACACACAAAAACACCAACCTTGTATACCCACATGTTCTGTGAACATGTACGGGTACTCATATTCTCAAGGGTACACCCTCACTTCCATACATTTCCTCGCGGGTAGGGTTCTGCACCTCTCCCCGTGTTTGGCCAAGCTTCGGCCGTTGGACCAGCGGCTCATCATCCTTGGCCGAGAGAAGTCGCGAGAAACCAAAGGCCCAAAGGATCTGGCACCTCGACGAAAATGGAAGTGGATAACCAACAGAGCGGAAAGCGCATGAGTTGGTCCGGATCAATCTGAAGTATGGGCAACACCCAAAAACACGTTGTAAGGATTTAAGAAGAAAACAAAGTTTGCTGGAAGGAAGAAACCAACCACTTGCAGGGCTCGTATTCCCGTTCCTAGAAACACTACGGAGACGCATGGGTGTGTTTGTTTCAGGGTGTCCTTTCCGGGGTGGTTGACAAAACAAGTCAGACAATAAAAACAACCCCGATTCCCCTCATTTCGGAGACACACCCAATATGAACAACAGCAACACCAACTAGGTCCTCCAGTAGAGAGGTTAGAATAATGGTACCCTTTTTTCTGTATAGTCCATTTTAGTAGCGGAACCCTCCCCCAAAAAAGTCGATTTAAGCGCACCTAGCTGGGGGACCTCGCCAACCAAGACAACTGGATGAAGAACATCTCTCCGCCTGTGCCTAGATAGAAGGCTGAAACTGCTAGACAGGAGTCCTGGGCTTGGGAAAAAAGATGCTTCATGCCTTCTGTCTCAAAGTGATGCGACCTCTGCCCTTCACTGGAGAGGGCGTATGTCTTTGAGTGACTCAACCTGACAGTGGGGTTCCTCCACCCCTTTCAATTTGGGAAGCAGCAAGAGATCTACACTGTTCGGGGGTCCAACCTTCTACACCTTCTACACTGTTGGACAAATAATTTGTCCAGAGTAAAACAACAAGAACTGCACCTGACCGACCCCGCCCCCCCATATTTGAAGGGAAACCCAAAAGAAACTGTTTTGGGGGATCTCAATGGGCTGTCTCAAATAGGGGACCCGCAAAATTGGTAGCTGTCCACCTCTTTCCCCCGAAAAATGCTCCAAGTTGCTTGAAAAACCTCAATTTGCTTGTTCATTTGGAGTTGGGACCCTCAAGTCGGTGTCTCAAAACGGACAAACAACCCCCACACCTCGCTCCCGAGCACCGATGTCGCCGCGGCGCTCGCCGCAGTTCACCACGAAGCCACCGGCCGGGCGCACCACGCTCTGCCACTCCGTGGCGCGGCCCTCGGGTTTTCGGTTTTCCGCTTCGACTCGCCGAAACGCGTCCAAAGCGGTAGGCCGTACGGCCCGGTTGTTTTTTTTGGGGGCGCGTGTGCCCTGTTTTTCAGATCCAAGTACCTAAGGATGGCTTTTGGGGGGGGGGAGAAATGGGGGTTTTAAGGCGTTTGATCACAATGGGGGTTGCTTTAAAAGGACCGCAGGACACCGCCACCTGTGTGGTCCCCTATTTTGACGCATACCCTTTTGGAAGGTCTTGAACAGGACAGCAACCAGCAAGCCTTGCATTTTTTCGGGGGTGTCCTCAAATTGGGGACCATGTTGTTGGGTCCAGCAAAACCAAAGGAAACCAGCCGGGTGTGTCCATCTCCAAGTGGTTACATGGAGGCAGATCTGACACTCTCCCTTGGTCACTCAGAAACACCGGCATCCAAAGCGTCGCCTCCACTTCTGCACGGCCATCCACGCCCTCGCCAGTCTCCTGACGTCCAGCGCCGACGCGCAGGATAAACGGGGAGGTGATGAGTCACTGGAGACCAAGGGAAATAAGCATAACATTTGAACGCTTTCATTCGGAGCGTGATGGGAGGTGACTATTTTGGGATCAACCAGTCTGCCTTACGATTTCGGCGAAAAACTCTGCAACCCTAACCTCATGTTGTTGTCGTTGTTGTGGGGAACCAAAGACAAACCGCTCTCCGCGCCACACCAACCTGCAATACGGGTTTTGCCCCCCCCAAAACAGAACCATCATAAGGCTTCACGGTCGCAAACCAAAACTCTTTGTGAAACAGCCATCTGCCCAAGCGCACTTTGCACACAGTCTCACATGTCAGCCTGTACCACCAGCCCAACAAAAGCTCAACTCACGTCTGGCTCTCCCTGCAACACCAAGTGCAGAAAGCACAGGGAGAATGTACAGAAACAAAGTGGAGCTTGGTGATTGAAGTCACCGTTGAGCCCGTGACATCTCTCAGTCACAAGCCATGAAAGCATGAGATTCATCAGGGCTGCGTTGCTGGAAGCTCCTGCAAACTTCGAGGATCAACTTGCGCGGTCATTTTCCGCGGCCTCGAAGGATGTTTGAGACATCCACCACGCTTCACCACACCCTGAGGCATGTTCTCTGCTGCAAAATCGGTGGTTCAGCTTAGGGACCCTATGGACCCTCACAAAGCCTTGTGGCGGTTCAGGTTGCTGGCTTCCCTTCCGAATTGATTGAGAAGGGTGGCGATCCGCAAACAGAAGAAGCCGAAACCGGCCTTAGCTCAATCGAACAGGCAGCCCAAAAGCTCGGCAGCTCGAATATCACACGGAATCGACCGAGCTCAAGCCAAAAAGTTGGTATTTTCCTGGCTGGGTTCAGGAAGTGCTGACATGACAACCCCAATGGATCTCCCCAAGAGGCCCGACATCCCGATAGATTCCTGTTTGGAAATATCTTTGGGTCACTAGTTCGCCGGGCAATGTCAGGAATTACGGCATCTCAGGAACCACGTCTGACTGATGAAAGGAAAACTGGGCCACAGCAATTCTCTGCCGAATAGTTCAATTACCAGTCCCACCAAATCTATATTCGCCCAGGGGCTGGTTTCCTTCTTAGCTACCTTTCAAACCCCCGAATCATTGAGGCCAAGCCTCTCTATGCACAAGGGCCCGGTCGCCTTCAATTGTGGCCTTCACATGGGTATGGGTCAAAATGAAACCACCAGAGGACCGTTGGTTTTAGTCTTTCTTTCCATTTCCCAGGGTTCCGTTTTGGGGTTGCCCTATGTTTGACCCACCTCCACATCTCTCGCGCTGCCAACCTGTCCTTGTCCACCAAAATCTGCAAACCTCCATTGGACTCCTCATCCCCGCGGTCGCCTAGACTATCCGAACATCGAGTGCTTCCACCAACCTTTTGCCGACCAGCGGAACCTTTGAGAACTAAATCTTGGAGAAAAAATCACGGCCTGGCGTAATGTCAAATGGACTCACCGTGCCCTCTGAAGAAAACAAACACTTGAATTGGCAATCACCCCTGAATATTTGAACTAATCTTAACGAAAGCAGTTTGGGAAGCATCACCTGATTTTGCCAACACCTTAGCTTCACCAATTCTTAGGCGGATCTTGTCCTCTTCAAATCTGGAAAGCTTTTTCACTAGTCAAATAATATTCCGGATGTCCATGTCATGCGAGATTGCAGACGCAGCGCGCCTGGATCAACATCTGTTGACTCCAGTCCTTTAGGTGAAGCATCCATCACATGAAGCCGACTGCACATCCATGTTCTGCTGCGAGCAAGAGCAGGTTCTCGTCGCAAATCGATCCCCATCCCCAGCTATGTACCAGTGAAAAGGTATCGAACACCCTGAGAGCCGCCATGCCGAGAATCTTATAATCCCCTGCTGAGGACCTTTCAAACCGACATGTGAGGTTGCCAAAACCGACATGGGACGCCTTGCGGGAAAGTGGTGCGTCCTTTTGTGCCCCCCCCACCTGAAAGGAGGTCCCAACAAAAGGTGACTGTTTGTCAACCCCAACCCCGTCCATGTCGCAGATCTAGGGTGAAACATCATAATTTACCAACCCAAAATGAGAGTCCAAAACAAAAGCAACTTCACGGGTTTGCGCTCGTAAACCAAAGCCCTTTGTGGGTTGATCGCGTTCATTTCCGCATACGAACTCATCACAAGCCTATGGGTGAAATTTGTATCCTGTCTTGGGTTGTTTTGAAGGGGCATCACGGGGAACAAAGCTAACTTTGTGCGGTTCCCCCCGCATTCTAAACGAGGGAAGACCAAAATAGCAAGATGCCCAAGCGCGTGCGGCCTTTGCTGTGTCCCTGGCGCAGCCGTCCCATCCGAATCACAACCACACCCTGGAATAACAGAAAAGCGTTTCCCCAAAACCCCGTAAAAACCGTGCAACCAAAAAACATTCTGAACATGACTTGTTTGGACATGCCCCCATATTTCCGACATGTTCCCATATTCCCCCTATTGCTTCTATTTCCCAAACCCAGTTTGCCGCTTTTCCCCGTCCCATGGCATCCAAGCCCGAGCGGCTGGTGGTGATCAGCGCGAAGAGCGTGCGGTCCCAGTGGGGCTGGATCCTCGCCTTGCGCTCCCCAGGGTCTTTCAGCTGGGGCGGGTAGTGCGCAATGGTCACCTGCGAGTGAGGTCTGGATGGGGTGGCTTGGGCCTGGAGTGAACGGGAGATGGGAAAGCCGGAACCGGGGCTCCGTAAATAAGCCACGGCCAAATATACTAATCCTGTTTAACTGTTTGAAGGGCTCCCTATGCCAAGGCCATATGTCATGGGAAAATATGTGTGCCCCTTGCTGGTGTACTGTAAATCAAGTGAGCCCGCAGGCTCCTTCTATATTACGAACTGGACATGTTTACCGAACCTGCATTCTGCACATGTTTGGAGATATCTCACTTGCCTGAGAAGAGGGTCACACGTTCGGTTTTAGCGAACTGGTCAGATGGGATGCAGTTGAAAGCCCTGGAAACGGCGCGAACCGTGGCGGACACGCTAACGTTTCGGCATGTGTGTTTTCGGTTGAGCAATCGCGCACCATGTTGGTGCTTTGTTCGTGATTTTGAAGGGAAGCCAACAGTTGAGCCCAACCACTTTTGAGACACCAAAATGGAATCTAACCATCATAAGAGACACAAAACAATGTGACCAACCCCATGAGGCAACTTCCTGTGACAACCCATGAGGCAACTTCCTGAATGTACGAGAAATGGGGGCAAACCCCATGGCCTTTGATTCCTTGAGGCAAAACCCATGGCACCACTGTGTGTTGGTATTTTACAGGGGGAGTCGAAGCGAAACCTATGGCTAGGTTTCTCCAGAGAGGTTAGAATAAGTTGGTACCAACTTGTTTTCTGTAGGCTATTTTAGTAGGGGAAACCCTCCCCCAAAAAAAGAAACGGTAAAAGGGCACCTAGCTGGGGGGACCTAGACAGTTTCTGAGCTGTGCGAAACGGAGTTCGCCCCAGCCACATGCTGGGGCGAAACGGCTGAAAAAAGAATGTGGCAAGTTTCTCAGGCCGCGGCGGGCCAAATGGGCGCCCTCTTGGCGCGGGAGATGAAGAAGTCTTCTTGCTCGCCCATCGCGAGGGCAAAAAGCCTCGAGCTACATGAAAGGGTGGGTGAGTGTGTGTGTGTGTCTGTTGAGTATTTCTGGGATCATTTTAAGGAGCATCAAAGTAAAAACAAAACAAAAAAGCAAACAAACAACGCACACACACACATGCACAATAGGGGGGTTCCCTGAGTTCCCGAACTTGCAGGCAACCCCAGTCAGGATTTTCGGTAATTAAGACCTGCTCAAATAACAAAACAAAGACCCTGGAGGCCGTCAACAAAACGACGAAGGCATCTTCGCAACCGTCCATGCTCTTTATCATGCCCGTTTTACCGATCTTGGGTCAATACCAGGTTACACATCCCATGTTCTTGACCATACCCGCTCCAGCCGTTTTTCAGTAGTCGGGGGCCTCGCCCCGCAAATAAATTGCTTCATACATACACCCCCCCCTACATTTTTTTCATCTTCCATCTTCTACCCTTATTTGTTTTCATCATTTTTCTACATTCCTTTCTGTCCATCTCATCCGTTTTTTATCATCATTTTTCCAAAATTTTCGCCATCCTTTTCTCCTTCCTCCTCGCCTCATTCATTTCACCAACTACCCTCCAAAATATCATTTCCTCAATCTCCTCACCTCATCCATTTCAAAAAAATAAATTTTGCAAAATATATTGCAAAAAATATTTGTCATCAAAAAAATATTCGAACTGTCTAAAAACGATTTGTCCATTTCCCGGACAAAAAATAGAACAGCAACAACATCACTCCCCTCCTTCGTTTCATCAGTTTCATCATATATTTGTTTGGGCGTGGTCGCATAGCTTGCGAGCTTCGCTAACGCTCGCATCCTCCTTGTAGGATTTTACCTTCAATATATAAAACGCTATACTTACATTATAATTATAACATATAAGGGTATAAATGTTATAATCATAGTATGGTTAAAAGTACATTAATTATGTTTACTCAACTTCTGAGTATTTTTACTCAACTTCTGAGTATTTTTACTCAACTTCTGAGTATTTTTACTCAACTTCTGAGTATTTTTACTCAACTTCTGAGTATTTTTACTCAACTTCTGAGTATTCTTACTCAACTTCTGAGTATTTTTACTCAACTTCTGAGTATTTTTACTCAACTTCTGAGTATTTTTACTCAACTTCTGAGTATTTTTACTCAACTTTTGAGTGGGGTTTTGGGTCGGGGTTGTGTGTGTGTGTTTTCTTTCTGGGCCCGCCCCTAATTTAAACTCATCAAAATTTCCAATATTAATTCGATAGGTATTTTATATAAATCTTCCTGTTTATGAAATACTGGATTGTCTCCCCATTCTGCTTTGGTTTTTGATGGTAGCCGTTGTGCAGTTTCAATATGTTTATTATTCCTGATGTTGCCACAATCCTTTTTACATAATTCTCTAGGTTTCCAAGTTGTAATGTTATTCCAGAGCCTAGTCCTCTTTCTATAATTAAATCCATATTTACAATAATCAACATCTTTAAAATCAAACTCATCCATAAACTCCTGATGTTTTAATAATCCAGTTTGTGGATTTTCGATTACAAAATATTTAGGATTGAAATATTTGATAATCTCAATAGTTTTAAGACAATACTATTTGCATATTCGATATTCCTAATTCCCCTAGTTTTTGCTATGCTGTATTCAGTGCATGGGGGACTACTCCAAATAAAATCAAAATGGTTTCTGTCAAACTGTTTGTAATCCCACTCCAAAATATCAGTGTTGATATCAGCATTTTTCAAGTCTAATGATATCACATTAAATCCAAGCGACTTTGCTATGGTTCCGACGCTTTTTGTTCCGCTAAATAATTCTAATAAATTAATTTATTAGAATTATTTAGATATTAATTATTCAAATAATACATATACTTCATCATCATTTTTTGTAATTTTATAAAACTCTAATGTTTGTTGCTTTGGTTGTTTGATTTTTCCTGTATTCAACATATCACAGTATTTCTTTTGCTTTGTCGGGTAGTCGCCCGATGGTCTTCCTATAGATTTTGCTTGAAATATCTTTTCGATTTTTTCTTTATCTTCATTGCGTTCAACTGGTTTCATTTTGTCATCAATGGATTTAATCATATCATTTAAGGTTTTAATATTTTTACCAATTAATGTTATCTTCTTCATTAAATCATTAATAGTGTAATTCTCATTTTCAGACATACTATATATTTATTTAGATATTTATTTATTTAATTATATATTTTTCATCATTTGTTTAACAGTTTCCTGTGTTTCGTTTTCATTATTATCGGATGGTGTTGCTTGCCTACCAAATTTAAAAGTTATATTGTGGACATCAGTTTCTAAGTTGATACTCTCTTTAGTTTTATCAATACTCATTTTCTTCTCATTTTTACTTATTTTGAAACTTGTTGGAATACATGAACATGTACAATTTTTATTATTTTTTATTTCTAATTCATTTTTCATTTCTAACATCCTTTTACACATCGGACAAGAAAACTCAATTACTGCTGTTTCTTTAACAATTTCCCCGCTATCTTCATCTGTTGAAGAAACACTTAAACCTATCTTATTCTTTTTGTTTTTCTTTTTTGGCATTTATATTAATATTTATATTTTTAATATATTGTATCAAAAACTTAATTAATTCTAAAATAAAATAACATATTTTTTTACATCTATTATCAGTTATTAGTACTTGTTCTATATTCTCCATTTCATCTATTATATCAATATAGTCTGAATAACTCCTTTTCATATTAAATAATAAGATAAATTATTTTTCATTTCTGTCTTTCTTTTCTTGTAAAGTTTTTTCATTGTATCGTCTTTATTCCATCTATATTCTACAAATTTCTGATGATGTTTTGAATTTAGATGTTTAAATAAATATTTGTCATCATAAATTTTACAACAATTGCAATGGATAACAGTCATATAATAATAAGATAAAATAATTATTTAAATTATTTAATCTTATTATTTTCATGCATAATAGAATATTCGGAGGGCACAGCACTTGGGGTTTTCATTGCACACGCGAGCGAGATACAAACTAATTAGCTTCAATGCTTATTGATTGAAGCAATGGACGCATCGGCGATGCCTCGCGAAGCTTCGCGACAACCTGTTCCATTTTATGATATTCGCCACCAGCATATCATAAAAATGATGTTCCATTTAATAATAATTACAAGTTAATTTTTAAATATAATTTTCTATATTTCTTTAATATCAACTATGTCAGATGTTCCAATAATAAAACCAATAAACATAACTGAATATGAATTCAAACAATCTAAATATGAGCACGTGCCAAAATTACCATTTAGAAGTATTATAGTTGCTTCTTCGACAGGCGGTAAGACTGTCCTTATTCAAAATTTAATACTGAATGTTTATAGAAATTCATTCGCAAGAATATTTATATTTTCCCCCAGCGTCCATAACGACCCTACATTTACAGAAGTTAAAAAATATATCAGGGATGAGTTGCACGTGGATGATGAAAAAGAACAAATTTATTTTGATAATTATAATCCAAGTGATTTAGAAAATGTAATTGAAAGACAGAAGAAAATAATTAATTATATGAAATCTAAAAAGATAAAGAAACTACATTCAATATTAATCGTTATAGACGATCATGCCGACGATCCTAAATTCGTTAGATATAGTAAATTATTACATGGATTGTTTACAAGAGGCAGGCACGATGCAGTAAGTGTAATTTGTTCAACACAAAAATACAATGTTTTAGCGCCTATCATTCGTTTAAATGCCAGTTCATTATATATTTTTAGGTTGAAAAATGCAAGTGAGTTAATGAGTTTTATTGAAGAAAATAGCGCCATTGTTGATAAACAGCAATTATTAGATATGTATCATCAAGCTGTTAATGACGCACCTTATAGTTTCTTCTACGTGAATATGAATGCTAAAGACATTAACAAAATGTTTCATATCAGATTTGAACAGGCGTTTCAAATTACGAATGATGGATAAAGATATTCTAATTTAATATAATATAATAATATGCCAATGAAACTATGTAGATGTGGTGGATTCTATCGTAGAGGTAATTATAATTTTCATACAAATTCTTGGATACATAAACTTTATAAAGTGTTAAAAAGACGACCAACAGACGAGGAATTATTAAGATTTCAAAATAATTTTGTTGATGAAGAAGATTTAATAGATGATATAAGTAGTACTACTTCAACAACAATACCAGAGGATAAAATGACAGATTATGATAGCAATTAATAATATTACTATATGTTAATATTATTAATTTAAATTAACGAAGCATTGCAAAATTGTAAAGCAGGAAGTTTATATATTAATTTGTCAGATTTTTCTTTCTCTAGTTTCTCAATTCGTGCCACACATTCTTGAAGAGATTTAATAATTAAAGTGTCTGCTCGTGTTTTTTCATCTATACTTAAATTCATAATGTCTTCCAAACTATTATTTTCATTATTTTTACTTTGACCAATACCCATTATATATAATATTATTTAGATTTTAATTTTTCAAAATTGAAATGTTGGTTTTCTTCTTTTTCTGAATCTTCGTCTTCAGTTGGTGCTGGTATTTCTGTTGGACTTTCAGATGAAGAACTATGAACAGTAATAGGTGGAGAACTATGAACACTAATAGCTTCATTTGATGAATTGCTACTGCTACTTTGTGCATTTCCTGCTGTTATCTGATTGACTAAATCTGCAATATTTATAGTTGTTGCAATTGTGCTGTGTGATAAGTTTAATATGATATCTGCTATTGTAGCGCCGTTGTGTAGCATTAATTCTATCATTTTTGTCAGTTTGAACTTCTTTTCTTCTTCATCGCTGTCATCCTCGTCTGGTGGTTTCTTTGGCGGTGGTTCTGGCGGTTTGTTGTTGTCAAGCATTTTAGTAAAGGCTGACACCATTGCGTCACGTTGGTTTTTCAATGTTTGTGTTGCTTGTGTTCTTGTTGGCTCATTTCTTTTGTATGTGTTGCGCCAAAAGTTTTTAAGCATTATTTGAAACATATTGTCCTGG